TACTTTACTAAAGTAAAAATAAAGTACTTTACTTAGTAAGTTAGTTAAGTTTAACTAACATACTGTCACAACACACTATACTAGTAGTACTACTAGTATATATATATATATATATATATATATATATATAGTGTATCACAAAATCATAAACATTCAGACACACATAATGAAAAAGTGTGGTTCAGTTTACAATATGATACACTAAAAATCAATACAACAAACATTATTCATGTAGGTGTATCATACAGTACATAAAATCTTATTTTCCTTGCCAGTGTAGTCTTTTCTCATATGTGAAACTCCCAGAATAATGAATAAAGATACAAATATGCTTCATGCATGTAAATAATTGATATATATATATATATATATATACTAACAAGTCCAATTAAGCTGACACAGAATACCATTAAATGTAAAAGCATGGGAAAAGTGCCAGGTACAGTTTGGAATGTTCCAAGTACTGTACTTAATTGCTAAATGTTCTCAGTACTTCAAATACACGTGTATATGAAGGACTTCCATTTTTCAGAATTCTCATGAAATCATTAGATGTGTTCTGGTGATAGATAGATAGCGTTAAGTGAAGATATGTAATACGGATATGTACTTTTCTTGTGGGAAAGAACTTCCCAAAGTGGTATTGATACCCAATTTTTATATTAGTAAATTTAACCAGCACTACTGTGTTTTTAATATTCATAGCTTGAAGATTCCTATAATGTGGTTTATGTTTGTTTGTTGTTAAGCACAAAACTACACAATGGGATATCTGTGTTTTGCCAACTACTGAGTATTGAAACCTAGTTTTTTAGAATTATAACCTTCAGATTTACCACTTGGAAGCCCATTAACGTGGAAATATAAAATGTTAATCATGAGTAATAATTCCAAAACAAAATTATTCATCATTTTGTAGTATAAAGAAAAAATATTATGTGATTATGAAAACTTTTATATTAACATAACATACTGACAGCAAGGACCATTTGGTTTTTCAAGGTTGTCTCTGCACAGCCATCCTTAACACAAGTAAAACTTTAATGCACCCTACACACTTCAGGAATTCATCAATTCCTCTCTTAAGCTCTTATAAAGTATTGGCCATCCACTACTGCCAACAGCAAAATCATTCCATAAATCAATAACATTGTTTGAAAAATAAAACTGCCCCAACTGTCTTTTCCAAATCTTAAACTTATGTTTTCTTGTATGACTGGTCTATAATTTCCATTATTATTATCAATAATAATGATTAGCTAATCAAAGGTCAATACTAAAACCAAAGATGGAGTATAACTGGGAGAATGAACACCCAACTTGACTAACCTTAGGTATAACTAAAACATGTTACTGGACACTATATTCCATATACAGTAAAGACTTTATCAGGAAAGAACCTAATAAAGTAAATTTTAAAGTAATACACTAAATTTATGAATAAATATTCAACCAATACTGTGTATACATTAGTAACACCAGCATCATGTCTCTGCATGTTCACTGTCACACCATTAACCATGTTAATATGTATTTTGGTCATAGCTTAAACAGAAGTGGATCTTTCCAAGAGGCAACAGGATGGATAATTAGTATTTCTTTTATTTGAAAAAGTAGTAAATAAACAAATATTATTTTTCACATGCAAAGAAAAAAATATTAGTGTAGAGAAAAATCTTCATTACTGAGCCAGCAGATATTTTTTTACAACTAAACCTCATGATTTTTCAGTTAATTAGCAGATCTTTACTCACTGCAATTGACTAGGCAACCAGTTATTTGATCATTACTGAACTAAAAATAAAACAGTCCTTCTAACCTTGAAAATGTTTAAAAAACATACAGGTCCAACAATGAGCCCCTAAAATTTACATTACCCCTGAGCCATCAGTAAGCATAATCAGACCCTGCATAAAACTCACCCTTATCCTCAAAACTATCCCACAGCTCTAACCAGCCTAGCTGCATGTTGCTTTATTCATATCCTTGGTAATGTTTTGTTTAACCCTTGAATCCTACTAAGTAGCTCATTTCCAAAAAAAGTCATACATCTATTTCTATCCCTAAATCTCTGAAAAACATTCTTTGTACCTTAGAAGCAGCTCTTTGATTTTCAACCTCATTCACCTGTACTTTAGTATCTTTGATTTACAATTTTCAACCTCATTCACTTGCACTTTAGCATCTAGCAATCAATACTTAATCATAGTTTTTATATGCTCCCCACTAGAAATAGCTATCATTATAGTATACATACATCCACAGAATGTTAACTTCATTATCAACTACATCCCCATTGTAAGTAGCCATAAGATTCAAACCTATTAGAGACCGGTATCTGAATGCTAACTGAGCATGTCTCTATAGCCTTAAGTAGTCCTATTATTGTAAATCCAACACTTCCATCCTCATCATACTTCAAAGCAACCTATACCCTAAGTTAATCAATTCTCTGTCTTACTTCCATGATTTCTGCTCATAATCATTATTTTCCCTCTGTATAAGCATAATCTTCTCCAAAGTTATCTGTGACTTATCCTCATGTAAGTACTACAGGGTAATATACTGCATCTTTTTCAGCCTAAATCTGGTAGGAAATGAGTGTTCACCAATGTTATATAATAATCTTTTATTCCTGCATCACATTTACATTTATTTCCCAAAACATGGATTCCAAATGAAACTACATATATAAGCCTGCAATGGATAATTACTGGTGACAGTTTAGAATTTAATTAAATCAGCTGATTCAACACAAAGTCTGTTACAATCACATTATGGGGTAAGGTTGGTCTTTTGTCTTTTCACAATTTTCAAAGGAAATACATAAACCATTAGCTTTAATGAACACAGTCATTTTGGATACACAGTTACAGTATTATTACTGTACTGTATATACATTTTAAAAATGGTTGTTTATGAAACTAAAGTAAAGTTTTTGAAATTACATGACTGAGTTTTCACATTGATTACGTGTATGTCAATTTCTAATATGTAACAAATCTCGCTGACTTGAAAAAAAAAAACTTGCCAAAAAACCCATTTACCAATATAAGCTTTACATAACTTTTAAAACACAAATAGTATTAAACCATACGCTTATATAAAATACATAAAAATATGCTGAAGTTGGTCTAGAAATTCTCTAGCTAACTAATTGTTGTTAGTGTCCATGTAGCTATTATGTATATAAGAGGAAGTAATATTCATAATTTTATTTACCAAAAACAAAACATTTTATATGAATATGATACTTCCATTGATACATTTTTTTTTCTGCAGAAAATTATAAGAGTTGATGCTTTAGAATATATACATAATCATTTGTTTTATTAACCTTTCCAAAAAATTACGTTAAAATTTCTACTCTTCTCTGAATGAAATTGCTATGAAAAAATAATAAATATACAGATTTGAATGCAAAAGTTTATGGTGTTATTGATAATCACCACCCCTAAAACAATTCAAAAAGTCTTTCTTTCACACAAAAACTAACTTCAGTAAAATACATCCAATCCTTTCGTTTGTACAATTACAAATCGAAAACAAGTTTTGACTGTGAAACTTTTAATTCTGACACTCTCACAGCCAATGTAATTTCTTAACTGTAGCATTAACAGTTTAAGTGCAGATAACCAGGTTATACTTAACAACTAGCGTATAGCCCATCAAAAAATGACGGGGCAAGTACACCCACCCCATAGTATACCCTAACCTCACATTTCATAGCTAATTGAAATAATTTTTTCTAAATCAAGCTTGACCAACAAAGAGGCAGTAAAGTGCAGTCGAGACAGTCTAACGTCGGTAAATTCCTTTGTGAGCCAATCAAAATTAAGATCATTCATGAAATAAATTCGTGGCGTATTCATAGAATAATTATTGACAACAATAAATTATATTAACAGCTTCTAATGTATAGAAAAGCCAGTGCGTTTTGGTAATACTACGTTTAAACAATAGCTTTTATGTCATGTCGCTTAGCAACATAAGTATAACCTAATATTGTTATTAGTATATGTACTGAAAGCATAAAATGAAATGTACAGATAACAAAACTGGAAACATATTTGTTGATTTCTTAAATTAGTCTCCATTGATTAAAGAGGCTTGTTTTTTTATTAAAAACGTTGGTGATATAACAGAAAATAGCTTAATTAAGAAACGATTCAAGTTTAAAATTAAACTGATATTTTTACTTTCATGATAAATTTTAATACACTTGACTTTAGGCTAGGTGTTCCCAAAATACGTCTTTACTTTTGGCTTATTATACCAACACTCACTACACTTATAAGGTTTCATGTCACACACACACACACACCCCTCACTAAAATCGTAATGGGCAGACAGTAATCAAACTATTCCATCTAGATAAATATGTTGGTTTTTATGACTCCTATTCCGAGAAAACGTGCGTGACGTGACATACACTGGCTTTTATATAGGTTAGATACAAGTTTCCACATTTTGATGTTAAGATTAAGGTTTAAAATATTAACGGATAAATTGGTTGACTAGTAAAGAACTAGGAGATAAGAGACCTCGTCTGAACATTTGTTTTTCTGTCCAGCAGAGTCGTGGTCATTTCACTCATGAGACTGAAATATACTAGATGATAATAGATCATAATGGATGAGATACTAACAGCAGTTACCATGCTATCATTTATTTTGTTAATTGGATGATTGTTTATGTAGAGTACTATATTACTAATGTTAGCATTAGTACTAATTGTGGTGTTTCAATTTATTCATACTAATAAGTTTTATCAGAAAACACTAAAACTTTATTTTGAGTTTGGGCTTAACTTGGCTTAAGCTAAAAAAATAATTTACTAAATAGGAAAAATCTACAAAGTTAACAAATAAACATCGTTAATACCTTTATTTAACTTTTCCATGTGATATATTACAAGAATAGTAAATTACGCTACTCTGACTTCCTAGCTCAGTTACTACCAAAGCGGCATCCCTATTTTCACTGAACCAACGCGTTCAAGCGATCTTATTCTGCTTCGGTCACTCCCACAAAGACACCCAAAATTCCGTTAGCTTTAAGCGCCACAAATATACCTTTCACACATAGACGCGTCCACGCGCGGCGTCCAGGCTGTTTATTGATTACCACGTGATATGAACCTTCAATTAATACCCGCGCGAAATGTTCAAAGTAGAATATATTTCGGTCGTTGTTTGCCATCTAGACCTTACTACAAAGCTCTTGTCGTAGTAGAGATCAGCCTTGTACAGCCTCAGTGAAGTAAAAACTGTTTTTCACTCACCAAGTATCCAGGTTGATTAATTCTTCAGGTCCTTTCTTCGTCGTTCTCTTAGCAGCTTTCAGTTTTAAAACTTCTTTGTAAAGAGACAGTGCATAATCCCACTGTGCCGGTGTTGCCTTCATAAAGAACACTAAACTAGAATCGTTTACATCAGCCATAGTCTCTAGCATAAAACAACTAAACTGGTCGCCCTTCCGTCGTCGATCGCGTCCTTTTCTATTACCCAATGGCAAGCCAGTACAAGACAATGAAGCGATGGTAAAGAGTAGTTCCAGTTGTTGTGCCTAGATGGCAGTATAGAATGAGAACATGCCATCGCTCTTGCCAAGCTGGATTATTAAACGTGTGCATAAAAAAATAAGACAATGATGATTTTGTACAATATTTATTATACTCATTATTAAACTAATTAATCAATATCAAGTGAAAAATTATTATTTCATCATTTAGAAACTTAATAATAAACTTGTGTATTGTAAGAAAAAAGAATATTATAGAATCGCAGGAATTCCAAGAACCTATTTTGCAAACGTCGTAAATATTCTGACAATAAATTCCTTCAGTATGCACTACAAACCCTGTAAAACAACATACATAAATATGTGATTCGAGTAGTTCCTAGCATCGAAGTAGATACGCTGCACTGTCAGTGTGTTATAGAAAATGTAGTAAAAAATTGCAAAGGATTTATTCATGTTTATAGCTTTAGAGTGTCTTAAAACTACATACTTAAAATATTGTAGCCGAGCTGTATTGGAACACATTACAGATCTAGAGGCCGATGATAGTAATATTCCTTTCACTCCCATGGGTTTATGTATATGTCCTAGGTCACTGCCATCAGATTTTCTAATTTTGTAAATCATAAGGAAAGGATGTCCTCTTGAAACTCCCCAAAGTTTAAAAATGTCAGAGAAGTTATGAAATATCAAAACGTGCTATTTATGTTTTTTATTGCGTATCTCAAAATAAATATGGCACACGGAGAGTTTTTTATGTATTCAAACATTTATTAAGAAATAAAGAAACTTGTTGGCTTGAAAAAATAAAACTTTTAAATAGAAACGTATGGGGAACCGCGTTATTTTTCACGGAAATCAAAGTAATGTACGACTCTTTGTATTCTACATTCTCCATGCCAAAGCAAATGAATATAAGCTCGACTTTTATAAAAGCGAGATTTGCATTTCATATACCATTAATGTTCATTTGAATATTCTTATTTATGTAAAATGAATATTATTACCACATAATTTAATATAATAAGTGATAAACTGCGAGTTTACACTTGGAAATATATGATTACAGTTTACGTAAGAATTCATGATAATTACTGGTTTTATATGATTATGATCAAACACAGAATATACATTCGCTAAATGTGTGCTTTATTAAACATTAACATTTATTAAATAAATAATTTAATTCTCTTAATGAAAATGGTAAATATAATTCACGAAAGTGGTTAATCCGTTCTAAGGACAGAGTGGCAACTCCGTGATTTTATATGCAAACAGTAATTATAGCAAATATGTTCTATGATTGTGTGATATTTTTTTTATAACAAAACCACAGTTGGTTATCGAACCTCTGATTTTAACGTTGCAAATCCGTATACTTACCGCTCTCTCAACGGGGGCATTACTCGATGAAATACAGCTGTTGCATATATGCTTGTTTGTTAATTTCCTGTCTAAATTCTTTCCGAGGAACTTCAGCGATACAAGTCCTTTCTTAATTCAAACTAGTTTATTCTTCCTAGATGCAACTTTGTAAT